AGGTAGAAAACCAAACTGAGATGAGGAAAAGGACGCAGATAAAAAATCAATTACTTGGTCATAAATAAGGCGCTCTAGAACTTTGGAAGCAATACATAACAAAGAAATAGGACGATAGTTCGTAACAAGAGACTTATCTCCAGACTTGTAGACAGGGGTAATACGATGAACCTTCCACTCTGAAGGAATAGTAGAGAACTGCAGAGAAGTAGCAAAAAGATGGTTAAGTGGTGTACATAATGGGGTAGCACTACTTTTTTTCCAAAAAATGGCTCCGAAATCACCCCCAATTTTTATTCCATTTTCTGATACATATTGATGTACTTATGCTATGTAAAAAGTTTGAGTCGATTCCGACTTAAATTTTTCAAGTTACGGCCATTTTTTAAAATGGACCAAAATCTGAAAAAATCCCTGTACTATAGCCCATGGTTTTTTCCAAAAAATGGCTCCGAAATCACCCCCAATTTTTATTACATTTTCTGATACATATTGATGTATTTATGCTATGTAGAAAGTTTAAGTCAATTCCGACTTAAATTTTTCAATTTATGGCCATTTTAAAAAATAGGCCAAAATCTGAAAAATCCCCTGTACTATAGCCCATGGTTTTTCCAAAAAATGGCTACAAAATGATCCCCAATTTTTATTACATTTTCTGATACATATTGATGAACTTATGCTATGTAGAAAGTTTGAGTCGATTCTGACTTCAATTTTTCAAATTACGGCCATTTTAAAAAATGGCCAATTTTTGAAAAAAATCCCTGTACTATAGCCCATGGTTTTTTCCAAAAAAATGGCTACAAATCACCCCAAATTTTTATTACATTTTCTAAGCTTCTTGTACTCATTTTTATATTTTATTTACAATTAGGCTCAAGTTATTGAGGAATTGGTCCTCCTTTATGAAAAGAATCTTCAATCCTGTAACAAATTCCATCCGGAGGGTAAGCCCCTATAATTAACACTAATTATTAAATCCCAATTACTTTAGACCCAGATCCTATGGAACCTCCATCTGCAATCTTGTGGGTGTGGTTTTTCCTTGCACAACATTTTGATAGGTGTGGCGATCACAGACGAGCACTTGAATATATTGATAAATCTATTGACCACACCCCCACTCACATTGAACTATACATGCTGAAGAGTAAGATTTATAAGGTAAGAACTGAGACATTATTAGCTAATAGACATATGTACAGACTAGCCTCTATATAATGGACACTTTGAAAGTGTCTCTGTTATACAGAGGTGTCCTTTATGTGGAGGTTATTTTATACAGTAAGGAATGTAATTGGTACACTAGGTGCTGTCCGTTAAATGGAGGTGTACGCTATAGAGAGTGTCCATTAAGAGAGACTATATATTAAGTATTAAAGATTCTTCTAGATCCTGTTAGTGAAGCTTTACATGTGAAGGAAGTGTAGGCAGTGGAGTGTAGTAAGTGGGGTCGACCCACAATACTATGAGCAGGTTACCTCCGTATAAAAAGCTGCTCCCTTGTATCAACTCAGTGATTACCAAACCATTGTCATAGTTATTTCAGACAAATTTTTGAATGGACTCTTCGCGTAGTCCTGTTCATCATACTTATCCTTTAATGAAATATTAATATTTATTAATGCAGAGTGTAGTATATACTATGTATTGTTGAGTGGTGCTTATAAGTGAAGTTATAGAGGCACTGTTATTCTATCAGTGACCCTGCTAATGTGGGCAGTGAAGATTATACATTCTTTCAACCATGTTAACATATTAATGCTGTGTCTCTTTTAAAAGTGATATTTAGCACTTTAGTACTGGTCAGTTTGAGGGCAAGTCCCTTCAAAGCTGTCCGTTATTTTTGTGTAGTAATTTGATATCCCTTTATCAATGAACTGTAAAAACTGTAACCAGGAAGTGTAGGGCATTTCTGTGCGCCCCACGATGGCCTTGTATGGTTACCCTGGTTTATAAGCAGCTGTCTGGTTGAGCTGCTTCATTTCTTGTAGTGACCTCTATTCTATAAACAAAATTTTTGAATGGACTTAAATGTCCTGATCTTTTTTTTTTATTTTAAATTTAGTAATTTATTACTAATTAAAGAACATTCTCTATAGCATACACCTCCATTTAATGAACAGCACCTAGTGTACCAATTACATTCCTTACTGTATAAAATAACCTCCACATAAAGGACACCTCTGTATAACAGAGACACTTTCTTGACCTAAAGTGTCCATTATATAGAGGCTAGTCTGTAGTACTTAAGATTATACCGTATAAGTGGTTTTTTTCGAGGGTTGCAAATTTCGCGGATTCCCTCCTAATTCGTGAAAATAAAATCCGCGAAAATCAATTTAATATGGTACCAGCATGGCACACGTGGTAGGATTTGCGAAATTAAAATCCACGAATTGGAATTTTAGCAGATTTCGCAAAATATAATTCCCTTGAAAAAAACCACTTATACGGTATTCTATTATCCATAGCATGCTGGTGATCTGGAGGAAGCAGCTCTGTGGATGGATGAAGCTCGCTCAATGGACACAGCTGACAGATTCGTTAATTGTAAATGTGTTAAATATTTATTAAGAGTGAACAAGATTGATAGAGCTATAGAAACTGCTGGACTGTTCACAAGAGTAAGTAAATTAAGAATATTATTTAAATTAATACTTTTATTTAACTACATGTATCTTTGCTAATATCCCACCTTCATTATAAACAGATTTGTTGTATGTTTTAAACTTCTCTCTCTCCCTCTCTCTCTCCCTCTCTCTGTTCCATTAGGAGGGTATGCCTCCTCTTCAAACAATGGATGACATGCAGTGTATGTGGTTCCAGAAGGAGCTAGCGAGGGCCTACTGGAGGAGTGGCCAGTATGGAGAAGCACTAGTCAAATACCATGAAATAGATAAAGTATATATGAGAGAGAAGAGTGTTAAAATGACTGATTATAATAGTTAATTTTACTGGTATTTTCTCTTTTTTATAGCATTTTGATGATATTATAGAGGACCAGTTTGACTTTCACACTTACTGCATGAGGAAAATGACCCTCAGACCCTATGTGGGGTGAGTTCAATAATCAGATATGTACCGGACCCCTCATGGTATTTTTTAATGCTAGGGTACTACGATTGGAAGATCGTATCCGTGGGCATCGGTTTTACTTTGACTCCGCCCACGATATAATAGAGGTATTATATATTTATTCATATTTTGTTATTTTTTATTTTTTGTTTATTTTATTATTAATCTTGTTTGTAGTTGTATTTGTATCTTTATGATAATCCTGATGCCAAGAGAGCCAAGGACGCTCCAATTGCTGAAGAGATTGAGCAAGATTGTAAGAGTTGCATAATCTGAGAAATACCCTGTACTATATATATATAGCCCATGGGTTTTCTTAAAAATGGCTCCGAAATCACCCCCAATTTTTATTACATTTTCTGATACATATTGATGTCCTTATGCTGTGTAGAAAGTTTGAGGTGATTCCGACTTCAATTTTTCAAGTTATGGCCATTTTAAAAAATTGGCCAAAATCTGAAAAGTCCCCTGTACTATAGCCCATGGGTTTTTTCCAAAAATGGCTCCAAAATCACCCCCAATTTTTATTACATTTTCTGATGCATATTGATGTACTTTATAACAACCAGAGGAAGTACATGTACAAGTACTTGTATTTATGATGATACTCATTGCTGTTATATTGGTGCGCCCCACGATAGCCTTTCATAGTTATAGTGGTATTTAAGGACAGAACTACAATGTTGAGTATTGTTTGTTTTAATTTCGCAGTTCACAAATTTTTGGAAGGGTCTCTTGTTTATGGAGGCCCTGATTTAAACAAATCATTGATGTTATTATTGTTATGATTTTTGTAAATTTATAATGCTAAAGAGTAAGAGTTTATGTATAAACAGAGAAATATCCTGTACTATAGTCCATGGTTTTTTCTTCCAAAAATGGCTTTCAAATCACCTTGCATTTTATAATTTTTCTTCTCTTTTTTAGTAAGTCATCTTTCAGAGTCCGAGAGAAGGAAGATCAAACGGAAGCAGAGGAAAGCTCTTGCAAAAGCAAAAGAGAAAGCAGCTGAACAAGAGAAGGAAAAAGAGAAAGGTTTTAATAATTATTAATAACTAGTTTTAAAAATGACCATGTAATTTTATCTCTTTTATATAGAGAATAAGCCTCGCCATGACGACGACCGCAAAGCCGCGACCGACGAAAACAAAATAAAATTCAACCCAAAAGAACTTTTAAATGTACGACATTACATCTCATTTAGTCATACCCACTAATTAATAAAAAATTTATTATATTGATAGGTTGAGGATCCGCTAAATGAAGCTAATAAATTCTTAAAGCCGCTTCAGTCAATGTGTACTGGAAATATTAGGACACACCTACTAGCTTACGCCATTCATTCTCGACGGAGTAAGCTCCACCCACTTTTAAAACTTTCAATTATTGTACTGCCTTTTAAGGAAAGTACCTGTTAATGTTGCAGTCTTTGAAAAGAGCTTTTTCATGTGATCCAGAGAACCCGACACTTCATTGTTATATCGTTGACTATGTTCTCACGTGTAAGTTATGAATTATACTTTAGCAGAACTTCAATTTATTTTAATCAACAAATTTATAATAAATTGACAAACTGGAAACTTTTTTAATAAATACACTTTATTTAATATTGGTAAGGATCGACATTTTTCAATGAAAGTATATTTAATTACATTTTTTTTCAATCAAATTTTTCAGCACTTTTTTGTAAATCTTTACTAATATTGGAACTACCGGTCATTAATATCCAGTTTTTGTCTCTTATAGTAGAGAAGGAGAGACCAGAGTTACCTGATCCTGTTCACACTGTCATTGATGATTGTATACCGCGACTGACTGATGGGGGGAAATCCCCTGATGAACTGAATCAATCCTTCATTGCAAAACATTCAAATTCACTGGAACACTTAGTAGCAGGTACAGCACTTCAAAAATTTGTAATAAATCCAGTTTTGATTCTATTTTTTCTTCTCTCCCTCAGCTGCTCAAGTACTTTATAAGCTTCACCCAGACTACAGGACTAAAGCCATCGCCATGGTAACTAATCTCTCCGACTCCCTGATAGACAGATCACTAAGAGTGAGTTACCCTCCGTTATGAACTAACACCTCTACATAACCACGCCTCTTTCTCATTTTTAGACGTGTCGAAACGTTCACAAGTTCTTAAGTTCTGGATTTCTCGGTGATTGTTCTGACGAGTTGGCATCTTACTCTTCCCAGTGCCACGCCCTTTTTCCCTTTGCCTCTAGTTTCAAGCCGCCGGTTGAGGCAGGCAAAGAACTCGAATCAAGCCCCGCCTCTCCTGGGGATGCTCCGCCCTGTGTGGGCGTGGCTGGACGGAGCCCAGCCGCTCAAAAGGAATCCTAGTTTTGCGAATGTTTTATTATTATTATTATTGTTATTATTATTATAAATTTTGTTAATAAATGTTTTTTGTGAGTTTCTATAAAAGTACTAGTATAAAAATAATTTCAATTATTCAATAATTATAAATAATCGTTTTTGTTGTCCAGACCTCCTTCTTTTCCCAATATTCCCAGACCCTCTATTTCTCTTTTAAATCTCTTCATTCCATCAATAGAGGCCTCAGTATTACATGTAGATAGTGACAGTCTCACATCATCAGGTAAACTATTATTAATAATTTGTAGGATTGAATCACACTGACTTCTGTCCCTATTGTATGAAAAAAATGACAAAATAATTAAAAATGAATTTTTGATAGTAAACTTGTAACTCAAATTCACACCTTGTTAACACCTTGAGGTGAAACAGGAAGTGCTCAAGAACTAATTAGTTTTAATAAAAATTGTATTTGTAATTCAATTTCACACCTTGTTAACACTTAGTTAACAACTTGTTAACACTTTGATATGAAACAGGAAGTGTTCAATGACTAATTAATTTCAATAAAAAATTACAGACTAGCCTCTATATAATGGACAAGAAAGTGTCTCTGTTATACAGAGGTGTCCTTTATGTGGAGGTTATTTTATACAGTAAGGAATGTAATTGGTACACTAGGTGCTGTCCGTTAAATGGAGGTGTACGCTGTAGAGAGTGTCCATTAAGAGAGACTAAACTCTAACCTGTACAATAAAGACAGCTCTTGTGTTTCTTTGCAGTAGAACAGTATTACCCCATCAAGAGGGCTTGAGCCTTGTGCATACATGTGGCGGTCATTAACAGTTAGCAGCTGCTGTGGTAATGATGGTGAAGAAGCAAGAAGAGAGAATAGACTTTGAGGTGGAACAGAACTGACACTTAACTGAATAATAATAATAATTATTATTATTATTATTATTGCTATTACTTTTGTTCTCATTTTGCTTCCAATTATACATGCCAAATCTCTCCATTCATCTTTCGTAAACTCTTTAATATCTTGAGGATCTAAACATACAATTAAACAGAAGAAAAACAACCTCGACCACAAGAACTCATAAATAATATATACACAAAGCAGTCATCATATGCTTACTTATATTGGAGAAATGAGAGAGGATTGATTGATAATTAGTAGTATTAATTATAGGGGTGCACTCATCACCACTACAGTTATTACCAATAGAGAATGACATCTCAGTTAGTTGAGTGTAACCTCTTACAGTGGACTGGGTACCAGTGGTCCATGATGAAAGAATAACACAAGATCTTGTATCAGTTATCTGTTGTGGCTTGGTTGATAGTGCAAAGCAAGCAGTTTCATTAGGAGAAAGAGTAAAGGAGGAGGAGGGAGAGGGAGAAGGATCTGACTCATGACGGTAGCCCCTGGCAATTAGTACACATCTGGATTGAAAAGGGGAGGAGTCATGTGACTGTAACCATAGCGACAGGTCCGAAACCTCTCTAAATAAATAGAGATTAAATTTTACAAATAGAAATACAATAATCTGTAGCACACTTGTCCCCAGTGTTGGTGATGATGATTGAAATAGTCCAAGTATCTTCTACTAGTCTCTGCCAGTGATCGTCTAATCTGATGGGTGTGGTCTTTATGGGTGTGGCTTTGACTTTAGTCTCAATCTTAGTATCATCTGAAGATATTAGCGTGAACAAACGCTACAAATGATACAATTATATATATATTTGTATATGGGAGGGGCTATCTTTACGTGATCCTCTTCCTGAGCTTTTTCTGTTCCGTTAGTTATGTGGTGTAATAGATTGAGTCCATTTTGCATCAAATCTTCTCTCCACCTCAATTGTCTTCTTTTATCCTCAAGTTCTAACTCATCAGTCTTGGAAAAAATAATTATTTATAATCCTCAGTAAGTGTCTCCATACCATTTGTCTTAAGCACAGTGCTCTTGATGCCTCCAGTATTGATGAGGAAACAGTTTCAGTCATAGCTCCATCAGAGGCTGACTAAAAGTGACAGACAATAAGGTAATATGATGTATTTAGTAGTGACTGCTAAAGGACAAACTTTAATTTCAGTGTGAGTTTTTGATGTAGAGGTGTCTATCAGGGCTCCATTATACAAATCAGTAATAATGAACTTATTGATATCAGAGGAAGCTAAAGAAACAAAAAGAAAAATAAGCATGGGAAGATCCCTGTACTATAGCCCATGGTTTTTTCCAAAAAATGGCTCTGAAATCACCCCCAATTTTTATAACATTTTCTGATACATATTGATGTCCTTATGCTGAGTAGAAAGTTTGAGCCAATTCCGACTTCAATTTTCCAAGTTACGGCCATTTTAAAAAATTGGCCAAAATCTGAAAAAATCCCTGTACTATAGCCCATGGTTTTTTCCGAAAAATGGCTCCGAAATCACCCCCAATTTTTATTACATTTTCTGATACATATTGATGTACTTATGCTGTGTAAAAAGTTTGAGCCGATTCCAACTTCAATTTTTCAAGTTACGGCCATTTTTAAAAATGGGCCAAAATACCATATACTATTATCTTTATATCCTTATGCTTCATGATAATTATGAACATTAAAAAGAAATAAATAATTCTCACTTTCTTGATTAAATATTATTAATAATTGATCGGACCCTCTTCTCATGAAGTCGCCAACCAAAGCCACTTCAACCGCTTCCCATGCATCCCATAACTTAGGAGGTGTGGTCAGCCCCTCCCTCTCAATGACATCATAAGAAACCTTATAAGTGAGTAGACTAGAGGCATCAGTAGTAATGATTAACCCCAACTGACCATCAGGAGTCTGAGAAAAGAATCTTTTAAGTACAAATAATTTATAGTATATGTTCATTCACTCATTTGAATATTGGTTAGACAAAAATAAAAGTTTAGAGGTATAATCTTTGAATTTTACCTGCATTGTTTTGATGCTGGTGCAAGTATGAGGAGTAGTTGGTACCAAAGTTTTAACGTTCCCATTATCGAGAATGAGAACCTGACTATTGCTTGTGCTGATGATGAATAAAGGATGAAGTTCGAATCTTTCAACTCCGCCACAAGTTCCTTTTTTAGCTCTTAAGTACAAATGAGTGACCACACCCACTAATATATGGGCATATTCAGGTGGAATATAATTAATGGAATCCGTCAATAGAGAATAAGCCACTTCACCTTCGTAGTTCACACTTACTAACTCGTATTTTAAACCGGTTTGACGAGTTACTAGCAGCTCAGCATAAACTGAGTTTGGAGGTATCTGTGGCCAGCTACAGCGCCACTGCTTAAAACCTGGGCAGTCATATGGCTTTGAATGTAAGAGATTAGAGGAAGAGAACAAAAATAGGTAGCCATCTTGGAACGTTTGAACTGCATAATTAACATCGGGGAAATCAGCTTCTAAAATGGGCGTGACATCTTGAGAAAAACCACACCCATCCCAAACAGAAACAGCATAATAAAATGTTTTATCGACACCAACAAGACTGACAAGATGAGGACAAATGAGGTCGTTCTTTTCATCATATGCTAACACAACATCAGCAACTGAGGAATGACTGATTCCATTAATGAGCTTCCATTGGCGACTAGTTGTATTCAGTGACAATACATTAACAATATCTTCGTATTGGTCCTCATTCTCTTCATATTCTTCCATAGAGTGTCTTTTGAGCTGAAAGAGGTAGCCATTCCAGTACATATAGCTAGTATTGAACTCCATGGAAGAAACTCAAATGCAAAAATGACCATATGAACGCACGTGGGACAACAAGCCACGCCTACATAATTGCATAGACACGCCTATTTCAATTAATGATTGGTAATTAGATTAGATTAAAGATTTCATGTAAAATTGTTAATGTAATACATTTTCTATACACAATCAAGCAAAGGATTAAATGATAACGTGAAGAAGAACAGAGAAGGAGAGAGAGACAATAAATAATGAATCAGCAATGTCTCTGTGTGCGTGAGAGGATTAAATATGAAAGAGCTTAAATTGAGCTGTATATATATAGCTAATAATAATAAATTAGAATCCTCCTGTTTGAGCTTGGAATACTTCTATAGTATCATCGTCCTCCATATCTAACTGTTGAGAGGGAGAAAGAGAGAGAGAGACAAAGGTGGTAAAAATGCTATAAATTGTCCATTGCTTCTATTGTACAGCCGAAAACAAGTTAGAATTTTATCCCGGTATCGAATGTCAGACTAAAATTTACACCCACAAAATACTATACCCTTAAACATTAATTTCCAGCTGCATAGTGTCCCTGTCTCTCTCTCTCTCTTACATCGTTTGGTGTTTGATCCTCTTGCATTGGAGTGCCATCAAACATGAACCTAATGGTACTCTTTTGAAGACCCTGTCTCTCACAGTATGCTGTTATCAGCTTCTTAAATGGAGTATTCCTCTTGATCTTGAAATGTATGACAGATCCACCAGCCTAGAGAAAAAAAGAAAGAATGAGAATGAATCTAATTGTGCTGGTAAAAAAGCAACTTCATTCTCTTACCTGTCCCATCACTTTGAGATTAATGTGTTCATTAGATTGATGGCCTGATTCAGCTCCTTCTGGCTTTACATCGGGCTAAACCAAGACATAAGTATCCAAATACTATCTAAAGGAGTACCTTTAAGTCCTGAGACATAATGAGAAAAGATTTAAAAGAAAGAGAGAGAGAGCAAACGGTCTGAAAAGATGGCTGTCTTTCTGTCTTAATTAAATGAGACTAGTTAGGCGACTAAACATGTTTAAAGTGTTAAACTTAGTCAGCTGCCTGCACAAGTTAGGGGCTGGCCCGTGACTCTCTATGGTGGTTTTGGGTGTAGCAAAACAGCAGGAACTTCAAAGAAGGTGAAATGAGTTCAAGAAGTTTGTAGCTTTATGCTGCCCCATACACAGAATAGTGACATATCTGGTTTATATATAATATTTTGTGTGAATAAGTTAAGTATATACATGTAAATGAAAAGTTCGTACAAACACTAATAAAAATGCAAAAAACTCAATAATGAAAGATAGAGAAGAGAGATGACTGGCAAAAATAATTATAATTATTAATAATAAGAATAATAATCCTCTAGGTATAATATTAATAGGTATGCAAGTTCATATACTGTTTTGGTGTTTCGTTGACATTTCAAAGAAAGAGAGAGAGAGGGGGAGGGAGATGAGAATGAGCTTAGAGGTATAGCTATTAATAAACTCTGCCCCCTCCTGTTTGCGCCTGGAACACTTCTATGGTATCCTCATCTTCCATATCTAACTATTGGGAGGAGAGAAAAATGTTTAAATATTTGTAATAATTATGGGCGGAAATTATAGCTGCCGTTTTATTAAATTTATTACAATTAATCTTACAATAACTTGAGCATCATGCAAAATAGATAAATAGGCAATATTAATTCCCAACTATTCATTGCAGCTGTATAATGTATAATATTTCCCTCCTCCTCTTACGTCAATTGGCGTTTGATCCTCTTGTATCTGTGTACCATCGAATATGAACCTAATGGAGTTCCTTTGGTAGCCCTGTCTGTCGCAATAAGCCGTCATTAGCTTCTTGAACTGAGTGTTCTTCTTTATCTTGAAATGTACTACTGAGCTATCCTTGAGAAAGAGAGAGAAAAACATCAAAATTAACAAAAAAGGAACAACATAATTATGCTAAATTCTGAAAAGGTGTGGTTTATATTAATTAACACTATTATACAATGTACTAGACACATTATATGTACTTAAAAGAGAAAGTAGCAAGAAGGTTAGTTCTAACCTGCCCCGTTACTTTGAGATTGATGTGTTCGCCAGATCCTGCCGCATCTGGCTTTACATCGGGCTAAAAACAACAAAGTATTATAGTATCATATCACTAGATGTACCTTTGAATCTTCTGACATAATAAGATTAGGAAGGAAGACAGAAAGAGAGGGAGAAATTGAATTTCACGAGGAAAATATGGCTGAAATGAAATCACAAATTTTAATTAACGTTTATTAATAAACTATTAATAACTAGATAAGCTTATTA